TTTAACTGTGATGGGAGGTACATACTCACATCAGCATTTTAGCTTAAGGAGAAAAACTGTTTTTGAATTTGACTGAATGGTCCAACAGAAAATTTAAACTTAAGGCCAAAATGCTCATAAAAGATAAATCAGAGAGGGTTTAATATTAAAAAGATGTGTGTGAGCTGTTGTTTGAATGCAGGACAGGAAGTCGGGGACTTCACAGAGTTCTTTCCCTTGTTCAGATGCTAATTGCTCTGTAAGTCCATCAATAAATCAAGCTTTCTTCTTCTGTTGATTATCACTCCTACTATGTAAATGAATGCAATATGCATTGCTTATCACTCCTATTATGTAAATGAGCACTATATGCATTTGATGATTTTAAAAACTTTTGAAGATGGAAAGAACTGCAATAGCTAAGAGTGTATCAAATTTTAAGTTTCATCTTACATTTTATAGTTTATCCACATTTCTGTATAATACACAGAAACCCCACATAACAAAGAATACTAATCCAAAGCCCATGCCATCATTAAAAAATAAGATTTCCAATCCTTGTGATTATGATGCATATGCTTTGAATGGGAACCACAAGCAATTAATGTAGTAAGACCTCCGTCTTCTAGAGTTGGAGAGGCAGTGGCATTTTGGGCAGCAACTGAGATGGTGGCTGCCCCCTCATTCCTCGTGCTCCACTGGGAATTCTTTTCCAATCAGTGGCAAGGGGTGTGGCCACAAGCAATCTAATTAGGAGCCAATTAGGAGCCCTAACCTATTTGTCTGAATGGGAACATGCTATTCATCTGCATGGGGTGTTAACTTTGAGATTTAATTATACACTTCATGCATCAACAACAACTTCACTTCTGATCATTTTTACACCCAGTTAGTGTACTGATCCCACTATTCTAAACTGTAGCGCATACATTTTTGGGTATAATCGAGCACTAGGTACCCCCTGTTTAGATGTCTGAAAGCTCTAGCTTTCCCAGACAGCTTCTAAATGTAAGGTTCAGTATTTCTGCAAAGAATTACAAATTCTACAACACATTTAAAATTTAGGGACAGAATAAAAGAGATTGGATACAAATCTTTACATTGTTACATAATCTGCATTAGTCAAAATCATATTGAATTAAATAACCACCTAGTTTCAATTTGTAACCTAAGAACATAACATAAATGACATCCTGAGTCAGACCAATGGTCCATATAGCCCAAAATCCTGTCTCTGATAGTGGCAGAGGTGGATTCAATCAAGGGAAAGCATTAAACTGTCGGGACCTACCTAAATTGTGCTTTCGCGGAAACCACAAAAACTAGTGGTTTCCGTGATGGCCATAAAAAAATGATGTTTGCCGCTATTTCCCATGGAATCACCTGGAAAAAAGTTAAAACTTACTAAAAATAAAGTGCTGGCTCACAGCTGCTGCTCCCTGGCCTCACAGCGCTGTGTGGGGGGGAGGAATCAGGTGGTGGAGCGGCATGTAGGGCAGCAACCAAGATGGTGGCTGCCCCCTCATTCCTCCTCCTCCACTGGGAATTCTTTTCCAATCAGTGGCAAGCGGTGGGGCCGCATGAACAAAAGCCCTCTCCACCAATCAGTGGTGAGGGACAGGGTCTCTGGAGCCTCTTAGCCAATCCGCAGTGAGGGCTGGGGCTGCCACAAAATGCCCAGGAATGTAGCTTTGTACAGCATGAGCGGGCCACAAAAAACACTTTGTCTTGCCCCAATTTACATAGGTCCTTACCTATCCCTTATTCATTACCCTCCCTGGTATCCACCATCTTTGGTTTAGAGATGCCAAAGTAAACACCTCCAACCATTCTGTTCAACAGGTATTACTAGATGTATCATCCATGAATTTATCTGGTCTCCTTTTGTACCTGGTTATGCTATCTGTCTCTAGATCTGCTATAAGGCCTTCTGATTTGTTGCACAACATGACATCAGCATGGTTGTATTTATGCATGAAATGGCAAAACTTTAAGCTAGAATTGGCTTGGTATATAGTCTCTACACTCAGCAACACAGGCTACCAAGATCACTTCAACCTAGTGCTATGCTCTCCTCACTGGCTCCTCATGAGATAGTTGGTTAAACATGCAGGCGTAGAATGGAGAGTTTTCGCAGGAGCGTGCACATGAATCAGAAACTTGCAGGCAACAAGGATGGCTGTGAATGGCAGTGCACTCATGGCAATATGTGATCACATATTACTTTCATAACACTGACAGTGAATGTTATAAAAAGCTAAGAGAGAAAAGAAGACCTCTTGGGTTTAAGACAAACCCTCTTGAGTTTGGACTGGAGTCAGGGAAAATTGGTTTCTATTCCTATGTGGGCAAGAGGATTATAATGCATGAGTGTACACAGGTAGAATTAAGGTGGAACAGGAAACCTTAACACCGGCATTTCCTCAACTTTTGAAACCTTGAGCCCGCTACCTTAATTTCTTTTAATGTCAGGTTCTACACGTAATTAACTTCATTTCTGATTAACTTCTCTAGCATTACACCAACAGTAAAAGACAAAACAATTAAAGCAGGTTTTTTGTTAGTAAAGGCAATTCTCTTGGTAATAGCAACTTTTTTTTGCAGACTTCCATCGACGTTTCTGTCAGAGGTTTGCCTACGGAGATGACAGCACATGAACTGCTTGGAAGAGGGGCCAGGCATGCTCCAGCACTCCGAGTGGCACATTTGCATACAACCACCTTTCGTGGGGCTCTGCAAGTCATGGACATTCAAAGGGTTTCTTGCCTCCTTTCCCTTACAGCTGCAGGAGGCAAGATTTTCATTCCTCCTTGTACTATTGAAAGGAAATCCCACCGCATAAGGTCAGGGATCAGTACGTTTCACCTCCTGGAGACTTGTGCTCTGGGATTCCAAGGCAGTAGTACAAATGAAAAAGCGTATATTGAAAAGCTGTCACAGACTATTCCATTTCTAGAAAATGAATTTTGCCACAGTCTGTCCCTAGGACTATTATGACACTCACTCTACTATACTTTGTATAGTAGGAGCAGGTCTGGACCCTCACTTAACTATGCTGTTTGCAATCGTGAAGGAGCAACATTTGCATTTAAGCTTTAATGCAGTGCACTTTACAGGACAGTGGAATGTTTTAGTGAGAAGACAGGGATCTCCAGCCCAATACACAGACATACCCTTATTTTAGACATGCTTAAAATCTAAACATTACAATCATTTATTGGGGGGGGAACCTCTCTGTACTTGCAATCAAACAAGAATGATGTAGCAAAAGCATAAATCTTTGAACACTCCCAGATAACCCAGGGACCCATAGACAGGGAATCCAAAGCAACAGAAAGAATCAGCTGAAATGACAGTAGCAAGGATAAAAAATTGTCTGATGTTTCCAGTGTGCAAAAAGGGAGAACTTCTCAGAAGTCAATTAATTAAAAACCTGGTGATTCCACCTGCTTTAATATACTGGAATTTGTACATTATCATACTTCAGAAGAGAAAAAAACATGTCCTGGAGATTATCTTGAGTGATGACAACATAATAAAGGCAAAGCTGTTTTCTTGCTTTGCCAGAAATTAATAGCTAAAAACAAATATGACTCTTTTCCATGAGAATGAACAGAGTCGAATAACCCCTTCTGCATGGCTGGAGCACTAAAATAGCGCCATCCTCCAGAAGTAGACAGTATGTATTTGTTAACACTGCATAACCTTAAGCATAATACACTCCATGTTTGTCAATGGTATTTTTGTTTTCTTATAAGGACATAAAGCCTGTGGTGTAAACCTATCCAAAAGGTTCTGACTGAGGTCTGTTTGAATTGAGTTATTCTCTTATATTAGCCCTTAGAGATTGCAATACATTTATTACTTCACTGCTGTTATTATTCTTACCCAGCAAATTGCATAGTAGTAACAATCACTGTTTAATTCCAGAAGGGCAAGCAGTTCCAAAAATCCAGCCATTTTCAGAAGGAATAGCTTGACAAAATACTACAACAGTGTTTTATCCCCCTACCCCCAGACTCCCTCTGGGTCCCCCCTCACCTACAGCATGGAAACATCTAGGATGTCCTCAGAGATGCTGCTTTGTGGCTTTCCTTTGCCCTAAGCAACCAAGCTACAGCTTTTCCTCTACACTTTGCTGACTGCAGCAGTCTACAAAGCAGAGTGAACTTATACAGGCATTTCTACCAAGTTAAGAACAGTACGTGCAGCACACGATCAGTTGTGGAGTATAGCACTGAGTTAGTGCCAAGGTGTTACAAAGTGCTTCATAATCTAGATTCAGAAATATGATTTTAATTTTGCACTATAGCCGTTCTTCTTGCAGTAATAAAATACTTAAAAAATGCCAGTTCTATGCAGATCACATTAACAAGGAAAGAAAAGGGTCCCTTCCAACTTTGAAAGCTTGCTTCCAAAGTCCAGCAGAGGGGAATATTTAAACAATATTTATATGACTTGTTTCTTTTTGTTTGTCGTTCCCCCACACCCACACCCCCACCCCCATACACACACCCTTTCATTTGGGAGTACAGCAGTTCCAAATGCACTCACTCTTAATAACCCCATTTTCTTTAACAGGGATAACATACTGACTTGCAAAAGTGAACTCTAATCCTACTCAGGATGAGAAGCACAGAAACACTTATCCCAAGACAAGTTTGAGATCCCCTGCCTGCAGTTCAGGGTGTACTTCTGTCACATCGCCTTGAAAGCCTTACTGCTACAAACTTACACAGCCTTGTCTAAACCACCCCAAAAGCATTAGATTTAGTTCTGTTTTCTTTTCTTGCACGACAGTTCTTACTGTATTCACAAGATACAATGGTAATGTTTATGTCTTTGCTAAGTCTAAGAGTTTTAAATAACTCTTGTACTTTAACTTTGTCCTGTAAGCTGACCTCTATTTACATTTATCTTTAAGATCGTATTTCCTTACATGCTGAACACAAATTTGTAGTGCAAAACACAAGCATTTTCCAAAAAAATAAAAAGCCAAAAAACCACATATAGCTACTTGCCTCTTGGCAATTTCTGAGCATTTCCCGGGTTTAGTGCAACATGTCCACAGAAAAGTAGAAAAAACAATCTTGATATCATGGTTACAAACCCAAACTTGCACAATGAATGATGCTGATGGGTATCACATAAGGTACTGTTGCTGCAGTTAAGTGAACTGTTCTCTCTGTGACAGAGGCAGCAAAACTTTGACAGGAGCTAAGTTTACAGAGTAGGAGGAGACAGAATGACATCACACCCTCCCACTGAAAAAGTAAGGAGAACTAGCATAAAAAGATATTATCAGGCTCCCTCTGCAACAGTCTTCTGGTTTTTGTTATAGAGACTTTCCATCTCAGAGGGTAACAAAAATCAGTCTATAATGACTGGTACTTCATGCAAAAGAAAAACAAACAAACAAAAAGCCCCAACACAGGCAGATGTCAAAATGCCATTAGCTGAAAACCAGCCAGAGACATAAGCTATTTGACTGTATTGTGCATGGAAGCCACATTACCAATGTAAAATTAATTTTACATTACTTGGAGTATCATTTTTCCTGATTCAGCTCTTGTTTAACCTTAGGATCATTTGGAACAAAATTCATGTCAGCCTGTATACTGTATACAGAGCAGGCGCTGACTTCACTGGCTGGATGGAACATGACATGTATTTATTCAGCAAAGAATGTGTATTTGCCAATTTAAATGCCACTTGCTCTGTGCTTTTTTCTTTTTGGCCATTTTCCATTTTTTTCTTTAATACAAACTCTCTGAGTTGCTAGACAAACTATTGTAACGGAAAGGAAACTAAGTTCCTACGTGGGCTACCAAACTCTGCTGCCCCTTACACCAGTGCAAATCAGAAGCATCTCGGTGAATGACTGTGGATTCACTGTAGGTTTACAATGCTAGCAGATCACAATTTGGCTATATTAATAAGTGGGGGAAAGGGGCACAAAAGTTTAGCTAGAAGAGATAGGATAAGACTAAACAAAGGAAAATTTAGAACAATTATTTGGAAAATATCCTAAGAGGGAAATTAGATCTAAAACTCTATTCTGCATATGTATTCTCCTCTCCCTCCCATGCCCCAAAATATTCCTAGTTTCATCGTGTTCATATTGTTGGATGGAGCTGTAATCTGGAAGTTAAAATTATAGATGGATCCAAAGCAAAACACTGAGCCTCCTGAGCCCTCTGGAACTTCGGCAAAAAGAGGTCCTATTATTCTGCTAGTTATATAAGTGTAAGTACTCAAAACAGACACCTGCAGCAGCCAAAACTGGGGTGAGATGCAAGGGACTGTAGGAAGCAGCTTCAGGGACCTGGATTGAGAATTTCTCAATGCAGTGACCATACCTATTGGTTAGTGACGCTCAATAGCACCCTGAGGTTAGACACTCATATGCTCTCTGTAATAAAATATTTAAACATAGTTTAGGACAGTAGAAACAGATGAGAAAAATAGTAATTACTGTAAGTCCAGAAGTCCCAAATATACAGATATCTAGTTGTTAGCAGGAACAGTAAAGGGAGAAAACAATGCTGGATGCACATAATGTCTTATGTGAGGTATCTCCAACCCCATTTTTGTCTTACACATACATCTTATCAAGTCCTCCATTAAGTACAATATAATTGTAACTATTCTAAACAAAGCATAAAAGATTTAGCCCATGCCAACTTAATATCTAAGGAAACTTACAGAGGAAAACACTGAACTAGACACAGTAAGGCACTGTTTAAATACTGTAAAGACAAAGGATAGAATGCATCAATTTGTTCTGCAGCGAGTTTGCCTTACCTTACTAATCAGAAAGGTTTGATTTGAAACTTTTGACCCTTCTGGCCAGCTATAACAATTTACACCAAGGGCAACTATTAATATTTTTAAAAATATGTTCTTGCAATTATCTAAATGTAATGCATTTTGTCTTCCCTCAGAAGGGACAATCATACTCTTATTCATTATTTCATTGTCATCTCCTGCTCTATATAAGCTCTTCTGTTTCTCCTCCACCTCTGCACATGTCCCTGCTATTACATTCCCTCCCCTCTTCCTCTGCTGGAAATGCTGTCCAGTCATTCTGCCTTCTCTCCTTTTTCTCTGTCCTTTTCGTGGCTAGCAGCTGTATGAGCCCAGGCCCATGATGGTAGCTCTAATTCATGCCATCTTTATTTTATGCAAAAGGTTTTCCTAACACTGGAACCTATAGTTTGGCAAGTGGATACAAGTCAAAGTTAATGTAGTGCATAGGCTGAATACATCAGTAGATGGTACAAGTTAAACCTATTTAACCAGTTAAGCCTGTTTAACCAAGCGACAGATAGTGGGGACAAGGCTGAGCTCCTTAATGAGTTTTTTGCTTCTCTATTCCTGAACACAGATCAAGACAAATCTCCCAACTGGATCACAGACAGGCACAAAAGGGACACCAGCCCACCAACTGTTAGTGCTGATTTGGTGAAGAGGCACTTCGAAGGACTGGATGTGTTTAAGTCAGCAGGCCTGAATGATCTTCATCCAAGGGTGCTGAAGGAATTGGCTAATGTCATAGCAGAGCCACTGGTACAGCTGTTTGAGCACTCATGGTGGCAGGTAAGGTCCCAGAGGACTGGAAAAAGGGCCAATGTGGTCCCTATTTTCAAGAAGGGGAGGAAGGAGGATTTGGGTAACTTTAGACTGATTAGTCTCACCTCTACCCTTGGGAAAAACTTTAAAAAAATTATCAAGGATCATATTTGTGGGAGTCCAGCAGGAGAAATAATGCTGAAGGGCAATCAGCATGGATTCTCAGCCGGTAGATCCTGCCTGCCTAACCTTGTTTCTTTTT